ATAACGCGGGGCGCCCCACGCGCACGCGCCGCCGCGCGCGCGGCGGCGCCGCCGCGCGCGCGGCGAGGGGTTGTTGTATACGCCGTTGCAAGACACGTACACCAGAACCCATGTTGACTTGGAAATCCAATCGGCAACCGCTAGTGGTCCACTTTGATTCTCCAGGCCAACATGGCGCTTCTTCTACTGCTGATAACACTGAGCGCCCCACGCCCCTGCGCCGCCGCGCGCGCGGCGGCGCCGCCGCGCGCGGCCGCGGCGGCGAGGGGGGCACCCGAAGGCCAGAAAGCCTGGGTGATTCAGGGGTCGGGGGGTGCACCACGACGAAGGCGGCGGCGGCGGCGACGGCGACGGCGGCGGCGGCGACGGCGTCGTAGTAATAGTAACAGTATTAGTAATAGTAACAATAGTAGTAGTAGTAGTAGTAGTAGTAGTAGTAGTAGTAGTAGTGGTAGTAGTAGTAGTAGTAGTAGTAGTAGTAATAGTAGTAGTAGTATTAGTAGTAGTAGTGGTAGTAGTAATAATAGTAGTGGTAGTAGTAGTAGTAGTAGTAGTAGTAGTAGTAGTAGTAGTAGTGGTAGTAGTCGTAGTCGTAGTCGTAGTAATCGTAGCCGTAGTAGTAGTAGTAGTAGTAATAGTAGTAGTAGTAGTAGTAGTAGTAGTAGTAGGAGTAGTAGTAGTAGTAGTGCTAGTAGTAATAGTAGTAGTAGTAGTAGCAGTAGTAGTAAAGTAGCACTAGTAGTAGTAGTGTAGTAGTAGTAGTAGTAGTACTAGTAGTAGTAGTAGTTAGTATCAGTAGTAGTAGTAGTAGTAGTAGTAGTAGTAGTGGTAGTAGTAGTAGTAGTAGTAGTAGTAGTTAGTACGATAAGTACGTGTAGTGTAGTAGTCGTAGTAGTTAGTAGTAGTAGTAGTAGAGTAGTAGTAGTAGTTTAGTAGTAGAGTAGTAGTAGTAGGTAGTAGTAAGTAGTAGTAGTAGTAGTCGTAGTAGTCCTACACGTAGTCGTCGTAGTAGTAATAGTAGTAGTAGTAGTAGTAGTAGTTAGTGTAGTAGTAGTAGTGGTAGTTAGTAGGTTGTAAGTAGTAGTTACTAGTAGTAGTAGTAGTAGTAGTAGTAGTAGTAGTAGTAGTAGTGGTAGTAGTTAGTGTAGTAGTAGTAGTAGTAATAGTAGTAGTAGTAGTAGTAGTAATAGTAGTAGTAGTAGTAATAGTAGTAGTAGTAGTAGTAGTAGTAGTAGTAGTAGTAGTACTACTACTACTAGTAGTAATGGTACTTGTGGCCCAAGCTGGCGAACAGTGTTTGTAATGCGTTTCATGTTCCAAGCTTTTGCCCGCCAGGGGCTCAGGGAGAGCTGAACTTCTCAGACTGCATGATGCAACAACGCGTTCTCCACCCTGGACTGCTGGGGTCCAAGCCAGAGCTTCACTTTCAGTTTTGTGAAGTTCCAACCCTCGCGCGCTCTCCACCCGGGATCACCAGGGGCCCAGCAAGAGCTGCATTTTGATACTGAAAGATGTGACCCTCGCGCGCCCCCTACAATGGACCGCCAGGGCCTCTGCGAGAGCTGCATTTTGAGATTGCAGGACGCGCGGCCTCAACGAGAGCTGCATTTCACATTCCCACAACAATGCTTGCACTTAAGGGCTCTTGCCTCTGTTACCAAAGAACTGGGTGGGTATGCCGAGGTTCCGCCGCGCTCCCGCTCCAGAGTCGGCGTGCACATGGCTTCAAGATCCGGATTTTATGGCTTGTTTTGCCTGCCAGTCTCGATCCGGCGCGCACGTGAACACGACATTGCCGCTGCTGGACGCTTCCGCGCCCCGCCCGCCACCTGCCGCCGTCTGGGGCGCCCCTTCTTCAGCTTGCGCACCTTCTTGCCGACCACGAGCGTCTTTTTGTTCCTCTCCTTGCCCATCAAGGAGCCCGAGAAGAGCGTCTGGGACACTTGAATGAACTTGCATGAGTTCGACTGAGCTTCGAAGACGTTGAATTCGCACCCGTCCGGAAGGTGCTTTTTAACAACCTTCGTGACGACTGGCCAGCCCCGCGGCTTGACTTCGTCTGCCCCGGCAGGGCGCGCGTTGACCATCGCCAGGAAAGCTTTTCCGTTTTTGCCGGACTCCACTGGGCCGTCCACGAGGCACTTCGCCGCCAGGGCCTCGTTCGCCAAGAGGAGGTACAAATCCCACCGGCCCTCTGGGCCGAACTGGTTTGCAGCGTTGCCTCTCCCAGCTTCCGCTTCCTCCCTCCTCCCCCGCATTCCTCCTCCTCCTCCTCCTCCTCCTCCTCCCCCCCCCTCCTCCTAATCCTCATCCGCCCTCCCCTCTTTATTCCTCCGCGTGCTCCCTCGCGCACCTGGTCTCCTCGACTCGCCTGGGCACCGATTCTGGATGGGCTGACGAGGAGACGCGAAGCGTCAAGAATACTCGCGTGGCTGAAGACCAGGCCGGAGCGGAAGAGCTTGCAGAAATGCAAATTTTCCGCGCTCTCCAGCAGGCTGTCGAAGCATGTCGGGTTGGCCCAGAACGGGAACAGCATGGCATCCACCAGGCGGCCCATCCCCCATACCTTCTGCTCCGCCGTGTGGACGTTCCTCCCCCGGTGCTTGCGGAGCCCAGGGAAGGGAGACCCATTGTCCAAACAGCATTGGTACAGGCGCGGCAAGCAGTCTGGCTTCGCGACGGAAAAATCTGACCCCTCAAACAGAGCCAAAAGGCTTTCCGACCTCACTGCGAGCACCAAAAGCAATTTCACCAGGAGCTCGCGCACCACCGGCACGTCCTCGTCGCCCTCGACTCCGAACAAGCAGGTCTTGCCCAGCTTGTCCTTCGTTGGCTGCACGAACTTCTTCAGGCGATCAAAGAAAGGGTCGGCGCCGCTAGTTTTCTTGGCGGCGTGTAGCCGCAAGCGCTTCACGATGTCCCTCATTGTCTTGTTCTCTGAGAGGTTATTGTTGGGCGAGTCGGCTATCTTCGTCACCCGCGGGCTCTCTTCGAGACCGTCCCGTAGAGTCACGCACGTAGCTAACAACTCTCCGGCCATGAAGAGATTTTCCCCGTACTCGAAAGCCTGTTCGCTCGCCAAGTCCGACAGGGCGCACCGGTGCACAGCAGTGAGGGCCACGCCGAACCGACGGGGCTCATTCAGAGGCGTCGTCGCGTCCGACTGCAACAGCGCGTCGTACACGCGCTGAAGTTTCCCGTTGCCGGTGTTACCGGGTGCCTCCGCCAGTGCGCTCAAGGGCTTCTTGTTGCGGCCCATGGCGGGCGAGTGGGCGGCGCAGTTCTAGACAGCCAATGGCCTGGAGCGACGAAGTCTGCCACGTGCGATGCGAGGTTGGTCGATGACGCTGGGCGCCCGCGGCGGCCCAGTCACCCAGCCTTCGAGCTGGTCTGGTTGGCCAGTGTTCGAGCCAAAATGGCAATGGATGCGGAGAGCCTCCTCATCGTTCTCCTTTGCCGCCTCCTCATCAGTCGACGAGGCCGCCTCTGCCGATTTGCTCGGGCCACTTGCTGGATACACATGCGGAAGGCTGGCGTACCTAGCCACGCGAGGGCCGAACGCCAGAAAGACATGCGGCAGCATGTGTATCCAACTGTAGTAGTAGTAGTAGTAGTAGTAGTAGTAGTAGTAGTAGTAGTAGTAGTACTAGTAGTAGTAGTAGTAGTAGTAGTAATAATAGTAGTAGTAGTAGTAGTAGTAGTCGTCGTAGTATTCGTAGTAGTAGTAGTAGTAGTAGTAGTAGTAGTAGTAGTAGTAGTAGTAGTAGTAGTAGAAGGAGTGGTAATAGTAGTAGCGGTAGTGGTAGTAGTAGTAGTAGTAGTCTTAGTAGTAGTAGTAGTAGTAGTAGTAGTAGTAGTAGTAGTACGAGTACGAGTACGAGTAGTAGTAGTAGTAGTAGTGGTAGCACTAGTATTAGTATTAGTAGTAGTAGTAGTAGTAGTAGTAGTAAAAGTAGTAGTAGTAGTAGTAGTAAT